GCGGATTCGTCCATGGACAAGTTGAGAGAAAATCGACTGCTAGGTTTTCTATTGGGAAGTGTTTAAATAAACTTTCGGTTATAAATGGTTTGGTCCGCGTCCAAGTATCCCAACTTATGATGGTTTTAAATTTTTTTCAGCCCGCATGGGCTAACCGCTCGCGGGATGCAATTTTAAAACCTATGTCCAAGCCCAACCCATTTAAACTAGTGGTTTTCCCACACTCTCGGTTATAAATGGTTTGGTTAATTTCGGTACAGTCGGTTACATTTGGAATTAAATACACAAAGACTGATTGATTCTCTACAAGTCATTAAACAACAACCTGAAAATTTTGACTTGCTTTCAAAAGGTTTCACTAGATTTTATACAAAAGTGTGTACTTTGGTCAAAACCAAAATTGATTTGGAATTTTCATACTTTGCTGGTAAAAGAATATACAAATCCCAACTGCAATATTTCTTTTATATATATAAAAAAAACATTTCTTTGTAAAATGAAAAAAAAAAATTAAACAAATATGTAAACAAGTTTGTCTCCCTATTCGGATCTTTTCCAAACCAACATTTACCATAATCAAACAGTCAGTATAACACATTGAGTAGCTGTCGTTGCGTTGCTTCATCAGACCGTAACGAGTAGATGTCCGCTGGTGCGGTGACACCTCCTTGTTGGACCAATTTACCATTCGATGAAGCGGATTTGTGTTGATCGAGATAAACAACAATGACGCTTATATCGTCGTGGAAATGTCGTCGGATTCCCTTGGCGATTTTCTTTATATCTCCGTATCTCATTTCTCTCTTCTTTGCAGCTTCTTCGAGAGCTGCTCTTACAAGTCTTCGCGCAATCCCCTGTAGAGATCTCAGAGAGTTAGAAATCTTAAGTATCTAATAGAAAGAGAAAGATACTGAGAGCTCTGAGTTTTCAAGGCGAACTTACAGTTCTTGGGTGTTTGAGGACGATTTCTACGGCTACTTCATCGCTAAGATGTTCCCAGAGACCATCTGATGCAAATATCAGAAACAAGTCCTGTGGCTTAAGCTTCCTTACTATAATGGATGGTTCTGCTGTCATCGCGGGTCTCCTCAAAGGAATGGGATTTCCATGTTGCTGGAATATCGGGTCTCTGTAAAACTCGGGTTTCTTCAAGTATACGTCCCCAATTGATCTTGATACCTATAACGAAGCACATATAAAACGATTCAGCTCACTTATGTACAAGGAGCTCAACATTCATGGAAAGGTCATTAGTGAATGCAAGCAACCAAAAAAGCATTTCTCTTCATTAACAAGTAGAACTCCGACTCTACCGGGAATTCATAGAAAAGCACAAAACCCACTGGGGAAGAAACGTTGCAGGAGCCCGTCACACGGATTCCTGGAACATTGCAAGCCCCATTTATAGACACCATCAGATTACACCTTTTATGCATAGAAACACAATCATAAAACTTCATCATAGATGCTAAGTTAAAGCAAGCAAAACTCTGTTTAATACCTGAATTATGCCTTTAATCCTCCAAACTCCACGCGTGTAAATAACGATTTGTGAATCATCGGGGTTAAGTGCCTTAACCTCTTTTCTCACTTCTTCAACAGCAACATTATGATCAGTGGATAACCTTTCAGCTGCAGCGCCCTTATGATTATTATTACTATTACTATCCCCTGCAACAACGCTCCCAAGAACGGCTCTCGAGTCCCCAAGATTCGCGACATACAGTGTGCCATTAGAGATAGCACCAAAAAGACAACAAGATCCTACAGTAGCCATTTGCGGTTTCATCGGTAGCGATCGTTTAACCATATGACAAAACTCCTCTTCGGTTTCTTTAAATGCTTTTCTTATAACATCTGCAGATAGTCCTCCTTGTTCTTTTGCGAATTCTGCAATTATATAATCAAATACTGTTAATTCTCTAACAAGATCAAAAGGGTACACAATCAATTCAAAAACCAAATGATCAAACTACAAATCCTGAAACATGTTTAAAGGATCAAAGAAAATGGAAGAAATTTTATTCAAAACCCAGAATTTGTAGCAAAATTGCGAATCATGGGCAATCAAAAACGAAGTCAAAGAGTCAAAAGAAGTGAGAACCCTAACACAGAAGATTCAAACCCTAAAAACCCAGTTTTTGAGAAGGAAGTAGGATTATTACTGTGCATATAAGGAAAGAGATGTCTATTAACGAATCTAGAAGCTTCAGGACCACCATGACCATCGTAGACACCAACGTAAGTAGCAGAAGAAGATGTGAAGACTTGACTCTGATCTTCCAATCTGGAATTGGCTTGAACCACCGCGATCGAATAATCTCCACCGGCATGAGGTCTCAATTCCGATTGCCATAGTAAACCATCACCACTCGCTCTGCTTCCCAGACACCGTTCGAGGGGTCTCGCTAAAGCTCGCAACATCACCTAAACTTACTAGGGTTTCTATACAAACAGATTCCAAGTGT